GCAGTGTTTATGTAGGCCAAGTTTAAATATTTGAGGAGCACATGCGGGGATGAATGGTGGCACAGGATTTCATCATAAAGCTGTGAAGGGCGAGCCAGCGGGGGGTCATTTTAACAGTAGTGTCAACACCATGAGATCCCACCTTTGTCGACTCAGCAAACAGACATCGCGGACACTCTGAAAGGTGGCGAGGGCCGCTTTCTGGAAAGGCTCGGCGGTTTTCTCAGAACACCTTCGGTAGTGCCAACAGACAACGGACAGCTTACCCTCACTGGTTTTAAAAAGTTTGTCCAAAGTAACCATAAAAGGGGGAAAGACAAAAGAGTGGAGTTTGGGGATTGATGCAAGCCGATTGGACAACAGTGACGGAATGGTTATTGTGCAACGAGCAGAATACCTGCTGCTCCGCTCACTGAGGTAGTCCATCTTACCGTGTCGCTCCTGTGTCGACAGTGTCACTATGTAATGTCACCATAAGGAAACAAATGGTGAAAACATGTGAGACTTTGATGATTAGAAGGCTTAGAGGTACCACTGAAATATTTTCTGATTGCTGCTCTGGTTTATATCACAGTTTTCCATGTACCTATGACATTTCCTACAGAATCCTACCTTTCCCTAAATCTACCAGGCTCACAGCCTTTGACTGCAGAGAAAGTCTGTGGAAGTTTCCATGATCCCACTCACTCAGTTGAGTCAGGAGAAGAGCCACATCAAGACGGCTGTCAGCGACTGCTGCGTGGGTTTTCTGTTTACCCAGCCTGCCTGTCTGTGGACATCCAACACAACTCACACATCATCACCCCACTGTCCACCTGCCTCACTCTCTTTGCACAGAGTTTCAATTCAGTCAGAAAACCCAGCCCTAATAGCACAATTATGACTCTAACGAGGAAAAAAAAACTGCACTGAACAGCAACAGTCCGGCTTGCTCTTTTGTCCCAGTCATTTCAGTTTTGAGGTCAGCTTTGTCCTTGAATCCTCCTTTCTCACTTGCATCACCGAGCATCTTATTTCCATCCATCACCCTCAGCCATCCACACACACACACTGTACCGCAGGCCTCCATCTCTATCATTTCTGTTTGTCTGTCTGTGGGCAAGTATGTCTGCTGGGGGTTTCCATGCAACTCTCGGTTTCCAAAACAGACACCTGCACTACTCCACCCAGCTCTTCTGACGTCGACATTCCCTACTGGGAAAACCAAAAAGAGCAGAGCTGTGTTCAGAGAAAAGTGAGTTCATGGAAGAAAAGGAGAGGAAGATATAGAGGGAGTTGGTGATGGCTTCAGGCAAACTTGATTTTGTTTATTTGAATGGAAGCAAAGAGACTGCATACAGCTCTGTTTCAGTGGTCTGACTTGAAGCCAGTCACCATCTCTAAAGTTGACCAAAGAGGTTTAAAGATGCTCAAAATTGGAACACAAATAATCTACTGGTTGGCTGCTGTATTGTAGCACAACAGAAGCTTTGGTGCAGTGGTGCCTCAGCTCTAATGCCACATCACCATCAGCCACAGCACGGTGTCTCGTTTTTACACAGTAGAATTCACTGCAGAACCTTTGACACTGCTTTGACCTGACTGGATGCAGACAGGCAACTTGTGGAGGTCTGTTAGAGCTTACATGAATACCTGGAAACCACTGAAGACTGCTCCAACCTCATAACCCCTTCCAGTACCGCAGCTAACGCAGCTCCCAATCATTAGGTGGCCATAAGGCTATTAAAGGCATCAGTGCGCTTCAAATGAGGTGCTTGTTTGTTTGCTTGGAATGAAGAGCCTATGTCTGACCACTTTTGTTACTTTTTTTTTTGGTTGGCCAGGTGCACAGAGGTGGGAAAGTATGCAGGATTTGAGCTTCTCTCTCTGTCAAGCTTTATTTTTTTCCATTCTTCACATAGCTTGCATTACTTTTGTTGTGCACCCAGTGCAAAGTAATGGAAACTGCTGCCTTGAAGGCACAACTGTCTGAAAGTGTGCGTTTATATCCGATGAGATTCTCATCCTTCACTGTGATTCGCTCCAACTTCAAGTGCAGCCACTGAGAACTCTTTTGTGTTCAGGCAACATTTCTTACAAACATTTGAAGCATCCTGACTCCTTTAACTTTCTTCCCCAAACCTGTCAGAAGGCACTGTTCTATTAAAACAAGTTGATTTTTAAAGACCTCCTCTGGTAAAAATCTACTTTTTTTTTTTTTTTTTTTAATTTACCTTCTTAACATGTCCACAGTGTTTATTATGTTGGAAAACCATTTCATTCACATCTTGAAACTGTAGTGTACCAATGACTCAAAAACCTTTCAAACCTAAGGAACCAATTCTGTCAACAAGCAGGTTGGGATTTTTTGAATCAGTAGTCTTCTTCAGAATTGGTTTCCAGTTCATATATATATGGCTGAAAGGTTAACTTCCTATTGTGTAAAGGTGGAATACATTGAAAAAATTGTTTGTTTGTTTTTTAAATAAAAATAATAATAATAATCATAAATAAATCTGTAATATTACAGAACAGCTTTTATTTATTTACATGTATTTAAATGTTTATGTATTTTTGAAATACACAAAATTGCAAAACTAATGGTTAAAAAAAGAAAATTTAAAAATGTTTTTAGAAACAGTTACATTTTTCTGACAAAATAAATTTTTACATTTTTTAATTTTTTAGATGAAACTGCATGTGTTTGTGTTTATATACAACAAACATATAAAAGCAAAAAAGTCAAAAAAAAACAAAACATAAGCTCATGTAAAATTAAGGATAGGATGTGTATATTATTTATGGAAAATTGCGCTATCTTTAAAAGATGGCTCTTTTCTAATATCTTCCTTTTTTTCGTGGGGCACTGGTTGCAAAAATATTCCTATTATTTACAATGTAGTTTTACACTGAGCAGAACAGGAAGTGAGCAGGTTTGAGGTGCACGTGGAGGGAAACAATGGTTTAGTTACACATCGATGCCATTTCAAGGCAAGAAGGATTAATTTATTAGAAAACAAAAATCTAAATATATATATTTAATACACAGAGCTGGGTTCTTAGGGGTTAAATCATCAACTGAACAGAGACTTTAGTCTTTAAAAAGTTGTCATGACAACTTTGGCACCAGCCATGGCCTTATTCACTGTTAAAAACCTCATTGAATGTTTGGTCATACTAAACTTTTTATGTTGTGGTAAATCTGTCCGGCCACACTTTTCATATTCATTCATATTCCGCTAAGAGGAGAGTCATTAGCATCGTCTCCAGTTAGTGTCAGTTAGTAATCTGGCCCCAAATATACTTGACAGAAAAGCTTTCCAAGTCACTCGCTGATCTAAATTCTGCACATTGCAATTTGGGGATGTCACAAGTCCAACATTCATAAACCTCATAAAATGATGATAGATAGTTCAGCCGCAATAAGGAAACCCAATTCATGGATTTGGCAGAAAAGGTCAGACCTGTGATCCACATATTAATAAAAGCGAAGGAAGAGAGCATTTATTATAAATACTGGAAACATGTCCTTTCAATTTATTTGCCAATTTATCAAACCCAGCTCTTATAAACATTTGCCTCAGCAATCCAAATATTTTGCTGCATGTGTCTGGCAGAGGTGTCCGGGGCTATTAAATGATACAGTTATAAACCGACTGCTCTTTCTAGTAAAACATCTAAATGACTCAGCAAACAAAGAAAACACTCGCCATTGTTGTAAAGTGAGGAGAGAGCAGAACTTTTGTTTCAATTATTCTCAACCACCTGCTGGATTTTAAACAACTGAATAGCGAGATGTCACAGCCAATCATCTGAGCAATATGTGATCACATCCAGCATCAACAAGAGGTTTATTTTGTCAGCTGGCTCAATCACTTTTGGCTGCAAACATTGCTCCAACATATGGCAGCGCTCACAAAAATTAATTTATCCAAATCACTGCACTGCTTAAATGGCATCCATATTACTCTGCTTGAAGTTTTCTGAAAATACAAGTCACTTGGAAAGTAAAGAAGTTGACTGAGCATGCCTCATTTCCCTGTGAATTATGGGGCGAATGTTGCTCTCCCAGAATTCCCACAGAGCCGAGTGTTGCTTGAGGAAACACTGCCCTCTAGTGGGGACAAATATACACTTTTCTCTAATGATATTGAAAAGACAGAATAATGCATTTTCAAATTTTAATTTTATTGCAGGAGCAGGGTAATGTTCTTGATGTATGAGTAATTATTGCTCCTAGATGTGATCTAACACGCAGCTATATTATATGTATAGTTCAATGTTGATATTAGTGTTACGTTGGCATATTGTTTCACACAAAGTTGTCTTTCTATAGAGTTCCAAAGTTTCAGAGTGGTTCCACAAATAAATAAACTGATTAAAAATGAACAGTGTAGTTCACTAACTTTCCTGCAGCATTGCATTTTAAACTCTATTTATGACTTTGGACCTTGTCACTCAAACTGGCACCTGTGTGATATGCCTCTAGAGCAAAAAAATGATGTCATCCTGGTTGCCATTTGCAAAAGTATGATTTTCCAGAGCAAGGTATGAGCTTATGGTCTTTTGACATCTCAACTCACATGCGGCTTTAACACGTGTGAGGCATTTCTTTGACAGCTACGCTACCCAGCCCCTTGGACACTGAAAACAAAGGCCAGGCTCTGTTGAAAGGTCCAGCGCGAGTCTGTTTTATGTGAGGCCGAGCTCACGTGAGGAGGAGTTTAAATCAAAGCCGAGTGTATGTTAAATGTCAGCGTTGGCCTGGAAGGTTCCGACTGAGCAAACAGATTACCGTAGATGTTGACTTACATCCAGACTCTAGGAAATGTGAGTGGTTTTAAGCTGTTCTCCAATTGAGTCTTGTTTAAAACCTGTACGATACATGATAGCTTAATAAATGAGCTAGTGAATTTTTCATGCCATTCTACATTATATTTGAATGACAGGAAACACTGACGTTGTTTGAGAACAGTTTAATTTCAGACAGATGTTGGAAATGAGGGTCTGTGTGCGTGTGTATATATAATAGATTGAAAAAGTATCCATTTAGCTGTAGTTGCAAAGGGAATCTATCATACACTGGATAATCAGTTTTACAGAAAAACATAAATGTGTTTTTATTGACAAATATGTTTTTGTCATGTCGACTACAGTTTGACTGCAGTGCTGATCTTGTTCAGTGTTGGCAAATTTGGTCACAGAAAGCAGACTGTGGGCTTCGAGTGTACTTGTTTTTAATTTCCTACCATGCATATATTGATGTCGATGATGGAACAAATGAAAAGCACACATTAAGCAACACATATAAGACTCTTTGAGTACACAAAAAGATGTGCTTAGTGACTACAGTGGTGTTTCTACACATTTTAGTCCATTTACCATATGTCGAGTATTTATTCTATGTGGGATTATCCATATGGTCACCCATTCTTCTTTTGTTTTCATTACCTTTAGTACAATGTGAAAGTCTACTTAACATATTTGTTTATGTATGATTGGATGAACTGAATTCCTGTATTTTAAAGTTTGCCAAAGAGGAATGGTGCATTTATATGCAGCTGTGCTGTAAAAACATTTAGACAGCCAGAGCAACTTTCTGCAATCAAACTTCCATTGTCTATTGCAGACCACCCGTGTTTGCGTGCATATATGTTGGCATACCTGTCATACCTCCTCCCAAATCTGGCTTGTGAATTTAATGCTGTTCGCATGCTAACTCACCAGATCTGGTATCTGTGATGGATGACAAGACAAAAAAACATGCAAAAACACCATTATGGTCCTTTAAGCAAATGCTTTTGTGTATTACGCAGCAGTCACAAACTCAAAAAGGATGGCCAAAAGTGCATTTTGTGCAACCAGCAACATGGAAAACGATTAAGTTTTGTTTCAAGTACATATTAGCAATGTTTTTTAATTGGTCATAATATTCTATGTATTTTATCTTCCGATGATTTAAATTAGTTTCACCCCATTTGGTCCCAAACCACCTCAGTCTCCCTCAGCTAAAGGCAGTCAGTCTCTTCTTCATGTAAAGAAAAGCGAGGTACGTAGCTCCTCCCAGGATGCTTATCAACAGAGTGGTACCAACAATAACCGGTGCATTCTTTCTGGCCACGCGAAACGCAACAGGAAGGACAGCAGAGATCAGGATGTTGTTGACGTGGCCCAGCACTCTCCTGAAGGCCGGCCGCTCCACCACACGTTCGTAATATGTTTCCACGTTGACACGGTTACCGTTGCCCCAGAAGCGACGGGAGAGGCCGAGGAACTTCAGGCGGTGTAAGGTGACTGCCAGAGAGACGTCGGCCATGCTGAAGAAGTCACCGCACAGCCAGGATGGCTGGCCTTCTTCTGTGAGTGGAAGGGGATAGAAAAGAGGTCAGAATAGCAGATAAGGTAACACTCAGACTGCTGCTGCTATCACAATCGCACTAATGTAAGGAATGAGCACTTGCACATTGTATCTTGGCTGAAAGTAATCTGTTTTTTCATTAATTACATATAAGTTAATCGTAGTAATGGCAAAGAGAGAAGCTGTTTTGGTACCTGGTGTTTCTTCCACCCTCCTCTGTAGCTCTGTCTCCACCTGGTCCATCACACTCTCCAGTTCATCCAGAAGCTTCTTCAGGTACTTCATGTTGTCATGGTCAAACAGCTTAGACTACAGAAACATTTACACAGATAAATACACACGTAGATGCACACACTTCTGTTATGCATTGTAAAAAGAGAAAGTCGTGAAAAAGGATTTCATATCTTCAGGCTGGCTGTCAAACTGCATAACACATAGAATGATTGTAATGTCTTTATTTTGTGCCTTTTTAGACTAATTATTTTTGATTTTAAAAAAACAAACAAACAAAAAAAAAAACAATCAATGCTTAAAAACCTAAAGAATACCCAAAAGGTGCGTATTGCAAATTTACAAATAAAATGTGTACCGTCTGCTGTTTGTTTGGTTACATGCAGACCATTAGTTAAAGGGAGCTGTTTTTTTGTTTGTTTTAGTATCGTCCATCTACTAATAACATGATTAAATCACATAAAACCCTAATTTACAATTTAATTAAATGCAATTAAGTTCACAAATGAAAACCATAAAGAATTTGAATTTAAATCATTAAATGTAATATAGACACCAAATCAAAAGAATTCCACTTGGTCAAAAGCTAAGTATAATTGTTTCAGTTTCTGCTTAAGTGGCGAGCAGTTAGTTTTGGTTGGATTTAACTGCAACCTCAGTCAGTGAAACCACAAAACGGATTTTACAAGGTGCTTGTTCATCAAAAATGAAAGGTGAATTTAGTTTTAAACTCCACTAATGCTGGCCATGACTAAAGGATCTCATTATCTTGTCAGCTCTTATGTTTTGGTTGACTAGTGTCAATAAATCACTCCACATTTACTATGCAGTGCATTACATGTAGCAGCTGCCACTTTGTTTGAATGTTTGAGTTTTGAATGTGTATATTCAGTCACTTGATAATGGCCTCACAAGTCCATCATTGGAACAAAAAAGTAGTGTCCACAGCATTTTCTATTCAACTCCCAGTGCAATGAACCATATGCAAAAATTACTGTTGCATCAATTTGCTGCTATTGCGGAGTGAACTTTTGAATTTCTGTTATATATAGACCAGTGAATGAGTGAATGCGATTATTTTGAACACAGTACAGTGGTTAGAGCCCAGGGATTACAAAACCAAAATGCAGCTGATGTAGCCGCGGCAGTAGAAAGGTACCTCTGGCTTTGGATTGTACAACCTTGTGTATAGATTACACACACAAAATGAACCAACACCAGTTTTGCTCATTTGATACTCTGCTCAATTGAATAACTTACTTTCAAGCGCCTCTGTTTTGCTACATAAGCATCTTTAAGCTCTGGGTTCTGCTCTGCCAGTTTCTTCAGCTCAGTCTGCGTATTTCCGATCTGTGCTGTCACAAAGAACACAGGAGAGTGTTAGACACGATGAGGCGCACAGCAGATGTCACCAACACAAAACTTCACTGTAAAGTTAATCATTTCTTGCAGAAACAATCCATGACAATGATAGCATCAGCTTGTGTGTGTCCAATTGTTTGTGCCAATTCCACTTTATCAGACAATCTGTAATTTCCTCTTCTAAACAGTTCCACTGAAAGTATAAAGTAAACAAAAAAGGATCAAATAAATCAATTTTCAAATAACTTACAAAATAAGAGTCACCTTGCCCATCAAAGTAAAGTTCCACAGCCTTTAAAAAAACTTTTCTGTACCCCCTTTGCTCCATTTCAAATAGAAAATTTAAGAAGGTAGGAAAGAATTTAAGATATGCAACAGTATCAGTTCACCAGAGAAAAATCTGCACAGCCTCCATGACATTCAATACAAGGAGCAGCTGAGTGGAAACTGTCGCATACGTCGTGCTGCTGTAAGACCTGAAACTTATACTGCTGCATCTCAGAATGTCTTACTTCGTATGCATGTGGCAGCATACGCCGGTATGTGGGAGTCCACAGTGATCTCAGGGTGGAGGATACAGCCGTGGGTGTAGGCGTCCATCTGTAGTGAGTCCAGCAGCTCTCTGTAGTGCTGCACTCTGAGATAGTACGTACTGCCCTCTTCAGGGACCAGCTTGGGAATGGCCTCTGGAGTTACATGAAAAACAAAAAGCAATGGTGTGATTTGCAGTTTTGCTTCCTCATATATATTTTTTTTCATTCCAAATAAAACAAAAGGTGAAGCTGAAAAAGATTTCTACCAGGAAAAACGGACAGTCTAGGTAATACAAGTGATTATACACTCCACCCTTGGCTTAGGGAGATCAGATGAGGAAAAGAAAAATTTTAGATAAGATTTCAACAGGAACTAAATAAACATTTAAAGGTATCAGCTTAAACAGCTCCATGCTTACCAGAATTTCCCTCCTTTTAAGTGGATTGGTTGAAGAACCTTACAACATAGCTATTATGGATCAGTGCAAACCAAGAGAAAAACAAAAATCAAATCAAATCAACAAATGTGCAACACAATAAACACACCAAACAAAACAAACAGTACCCTAAATAATAGGCAAATATGTTTAAAGGAGCTGACCACCAGCGTGGCTACAATTTGTTATTTACACTGTTGTGAAGGAAAGCTTTGGGCTGCAGGTTTGTTATAAACTGACTTTATCAGGTCTCACCATCATTGAAGTTCTGCTCCAGGTAGTCCATGATCTGTATTGGGTCACAGATAACGTTGTCATCATGGACTAGGACTGGCACCTCGCCAGTTGGATTCAGACGCATGAACCAAGGCTCATTGTGCTCACTGAGTGGTAGGCTCACATCATACTCCACACAATGCAAACCTTTCTCTGCTATGGCCAGACGTACCTGGAAAAAACAACAGCTGTGAGTGCGGTGCCTAACACTAGGGCTGCAACTACTATTTTCATTGTCAAATAAGCTGTCTAATATTTTGTAATTATTTGTTGTTTGGTATAAAATGTCAAAAAAGCATTTGTCAAAGCCCAAAAATATATCTTGATGAATCTAGCTTTGATTAAAGAAATCTAGAAAGCTGGAAAAAGTAGTTTTTTCCTGACATAATTACTCAAACAGATTAATTGTTCAGTTGTTGCAGCTCTAACTGCATAACACTATGGAAAAAAATAATAAAATAAATGCAATATAATCTTAGTAAACGGTCTATTTTCATCTCATTTTCAAGCATTGTTATTGGCTTCTCTGCTACTAAACTAGGATCCTTGGGATTTTAACAACCATCATGGCAAACCAAAGTTATTCAGTTTACTGTCACAGAGAATTAAAGAAACATGGGATAGTACTGCAATAATTTTGTCTCTTTTTTTTCTTACATAATTGCTCAAACAGATTAACTAATCAATTGTTGCAGCTCTATAAATGCAATATATTAGTAAATCATTTATTTTCATGTCTTGATCAGAGATTTTGCCACCTTTTCTCCCATTTTTAAGCACTTTTGTTTGCTTGTTTGCTGTTAACAATGAATTATTGTGGTTTTAATGATTTATGGTTGACAGCTGGTTTTAATTAAACACCACAGCTCATAAATTACACATGAAAAGCATTTTTGAGGTAAAACACTGATCAGTATAGTATGACTGAATGAGGAGGAGCAAGGAAATGCCAATGGAAAGCAAAAACAAGCAAGTCTGAAGATCTACTGAGAAGCATTATAGTACCAGAAGGAGTAAAACTCACATCAGTCCACTGAAATATGAGGCTAAAATGTTAGCATAGCCGCCTACAAACTGGTAGTGCTGAAAGGTAAACAAACTACTAACAATCCTCTGTTAAATACTACGACATTAATGAGTTGTACAGCAGTTTTATCAATTAAAACAGAAGATAAATGGGTTATATAAAGCTAAAATCATGCTGAGGAAAAGAGCCATTTTACAGCTTTGTAATTAAACCTAATGGGAGCTGTCCACTGAGCTGCGGTGCTGAAAGCCAACCACACTTCCTCACCTTCTGAGAGTTGAAGGACTGCGTCCAGTGATACAGAGTTAGCTTGGATTCGCCTTGTTTTGCCACCGTGCCACATTCTGGATGCTCGTCTTGTGCCGGTTCCGTCTCTAGAAGAGCCGTTTTCTCTTCCTTGGACTCTGAGCCGTTTTCGGACGCCATTTTATCTGTTAGTGTTTTAGGGGACAAGTGAGGACAGCGCACCGCGGCTCGGTCCACGACATGCTCCCCCTGCTGGCTCGGAGTGGAAATGGGACATATTGATATTTAATACGATATATCGACCTTAAAAATAGACATTTATTTTCGAATTTCACCTAACGACACTGGTCTAACTACCTGTGACAAGCTGTTATCTGCGATTTGTGTAAGTGTGTACAATTTTCTTCTTCTTCTTCTTCTTCTTCTTCTTCTTCTTCTTCTTCTTCTTCTTCTTCGTTGTTTTGCTGATACCTCCACTACAAAGTAAGTATTTTACTCAACTTCACTTATTTGCATCACTTCACTAATATGTATACATAGTCGTCCTCAAATTTATTCATAACCTCCCATTAAAGAAGGAAAAAACTGTCACTGAGATAAGATATAAACCAAGATATATATGACAACAGTTGAAATTGACAAAAGTAATAATAAATAAAAAATGTAATGACAATCATGACATTGCTTTTGTGGTTAAACAGAAAAAAACAAACAACAGCAAACAAAAAAAAGCAAACAAGCATGATGGGACCCATAAACTAACATTTTGCTGAACAACCCTTTGAGCCAATCAAATCACTGCCATCAGATGTTTTCTGTAACTCTCGATCAGACTTCTGCACCTGTTGACAGGTATTCTGATTTTGGCCCACTGCTCATCAGCAAAGTGCTCTAATTTGTCCGGGACAGTTTTGTTTGTTTTTTTACATTATTATTTTCAACCACAACTCAAAAGCAATGTCTTATTTTACTAAATCAGAATTAAGAAAATGTGTATTTATTATTATTTTTTTCAGTTTCATGATTACTTCACTGATTTTTCGAGTGACTATTGTGAATTTTGTCTTTTCTTTAATAGAAGGGTATGAATAAATTTGAGTAGTACTATTTCGTAGTCATGAACGTATTTGTACAGCAGAGGTCGCTGTTAGCTATTTCTTAAACATTTAGGCCACTGGTGGTCTCCTCGAGCTTTATTGACAGGCCTGATAAGAAAAAAAAAAGTAGGCATTTTAAAAAGGTCATTACTGTCGTGTAATTAAAAAGCTGAATCTTACAGCGCAATTTAACTGAAGGAAATTGTATTTTGTGTTAATCTGCTTGGTGCAACTGAATATTAGCGTATTAACAGCTTTTATGTAATTTTATGTGGTAATTTAAAGGCCTATGTGGTCCTGTTCGCTAAAATATGTCAGTAAAGCTGCCAGGAATAGCTCTAAAAAATGTTACTGGTTAAAAATAATAATAATAATAATAATAAGAGTGAACAATCAAACAATATAATACATTCTACAATAAAATCAACCGCAGCTGATGAAACACGTTTTATACAGTATCTTAATACATCACCTCCTCACCACAATAAAAAAAAAATAGGCCACAGAATATTATTATGTAATATGGGCGATAAGGTTAGCAACAAAAAAAATTGATGACTGCAATTTTATGAGTGAATCTATTATAAGAAACTGAAAATAAATGTGTGTAGTAAGGCGCGTCTTTCAAAGTTTGGCACGCATATTGAAGCGCCTTATGTTGGCGGGGCTCAGGCGCCCAGGATCCTCACCGAGGGGGGAGAGAGAGTGAGAGAGAGAGAGATGGGGGAGAGAGTGGGAGGTCCCTGTGGCGTGACGTTGCGATTGGCCCAGTGCCTTTCTTCAGCAGGGTCTCGATACCTCTCTCTCCCTCTGTGATCAGTGGGTGAGAGGGGGGAGACGAGCAACACACAACGGAGAACCCGGCGTGCGCCTCCGGTAAATGACGCCCACCATTCATACCTTTACACTCACCATTACGCATGCCTTTTGTGTTACATGGTCGGTGTCTGGAAGTGCCAATCCACTATCCTCACCCTCCTATTTTCTCTCTCTCTCTCTCTTTTTCTCTCTCTCTCTCTCTCTCCTCTAGTCATCATCTCTGTTGGCTCATCCTTTCATCACACCACCGGTCCTGGATCCCCCAGCCTCGGTCCTGGAGACGCCTGAGTCTGCAGCAGCGCACGATCTGCTTTATTTCCAGCCGAGATCTGAATGACGGGCGGAAGGTTTGACTTCGACGACGGTGGCACTTACTGCGGAGGGTGGGAGGATGGCAAAGCCCACGGACACGGCATCTGCACCGGACCCAAGGGCCAAGGAGAGTACGCCGGGTCCTGGTCGCACGGCTTTGAGATAGTAGGGGTGTACACCTGGCCCAGCGGGAATACCTACAAGGGCTACTGGTCCCAGGGGAAGCGGCATGGGCTCGGAGTGGAGAATAAAGGAAAGTGGATCTACCGGGGAGAGTGGAGTCATGGTTTTAAGGGTCGATACGGCGTCCGGCAGAGCCACAACACACCTGCGAGATACGACGGTACCTGGAGCAACGGGCTGCAGGATGGATATGGAATCGAAACCTATGGCGATGGCGGTAAGAAACCAGATTTTCTGACTGTGGCACAGTGCGTGTGTGTTGCTTTAACTGGTGGTGTGTTATGTAGCTGCTGTGTGTAGGATGCTCAGACTCAAAGTGAGGGTGGCTCATGGTAACACATCACAATCTCCATCTGATATGAGCTAAGTTGGAGCTGAGATTGCGCACTGCGTATCGTGGTCAAGCGCATCATCATTTACCCCTCAAAACGGACTTTTATTTTAAAATCACGGAAGCTTTAACTTTTTGGATGCTAGATAATGGTTCCTTTTTTATTCTTACGTGCATCTCATTTTGCAACTACCGGTTGCTCCTCATATGACAGAGTGACTCCTCCTCAGTGGCAACATGTCTCCTCAAAGCAAAGCAAATCAGTGTATTTAGGATGTGCATGCCACAGTTTTAAATGAAATTTAGCTTGTGTAATACACCAGAAGGTGCCATATTTAGTGACAGTTAAGTCATTGTGTAAGTGTAAAGAGCACAAGTGAAAACAAGTAGATTTTCAGTTTCCTGACTCCTCAATGCAGACCCTCACAGAGCTGAAAATGCACACAAATTGAACCATCATCTATTCATTCAGCTGCGTTAAGTCACACACAGAAAACTCCCTCGGACTTGCTGAAAGTGAGAGGTCAGTGAGACCCCTCCCAGAGCTTTGATCCCACTAATTGTTGGTGTGTTCGCAGATTGTGTTTATTTAAAGACCTGTGTGTGATCAGTGAGACGAGATCCCAGGCAGCCTAAAAAAACAAGTGCCTCAGTAAAGCCCGCTGTGTATTACATACAGTCCTTTCTTGTTATAAAACATCAAAGTCTCAGTGATTTGTGAGCATCATCTCCGCTAACAGAGGCCTTATGGTGCAGAATAAATGCCTCACATATGATGGTTGCAGATTGCTGGGCTTGGGAAATCAGCTGATCCTAGAGGATCTACAGAACATCTGGCTGTCTGACCCCGCAACATCCTGATAACTTGATCTGCAGGGTCACCGAATTGAACTGCAGCGCAGAGCCAGCCTGTTAATCTCACACTGTTTATCCTTCTAAATTCGTGCCCAGGCTAGTATATCATTTTCTGTTCGAATCTGACCATTATGGCTTATTTCATTGTATTGGTAAATTAGATTCGAGAAATGGATTAACAAGCCTTTCTTATTATCAGGATTGGGATTGTAATATTATGCTTTGAAGAAGCTACAGTAGGCCAGCACATGCTTATTGGGCTCAGCAGCACCAAATGGGATTAATGAAGCATTCTTCTCATTATGTGACTCATAGCAATTCCCTGTCGTCAGAGACAAACGGATGGTGGTGAATGTGCCTACTGTCAGTGGGGGAGTTAGTGGCCGCCTGAAAATAGGCTCCTAGCTAAGTGATTCACATTCATCCCAAGTGATCCTCAGTATCAGTACCTTAATCAAATCTCTATGATTGAGTTAGCTATGCTCACAGTCCCAGATCTGAGTGGAAGGAGAGAAAACATTTCATTAGCGGACATACTCTGCACCCCTACCGCAAGCCTCCTCTGTGTTCCCCTATGCAATGTTGTTACAAGGACTTAGTGCTGATATGGAGAATATCAGGCCGACAAGATTCAAGGTGTACAACAGAGGGAATAGACCACGAGTGCCAGAAGTACAAACTCATTGTGGAAAATGTTATCCTTGACTTAAAAGCCCTTGCAAAACAAGATAAGCTTTTCAGACATGCGTATAATCAGACATTACTATCAGTGTTGATGCAAGCACTCCCAGTTAGGACTCCTTCATATAAAGAGGCACTTTGTTTTTTGTTTTGTTTGTGAAAATCAGCCTCAACAGATAACTTATAGGCTTGTACACTATTTTGGTTTAATTATTTATTCATTTTTTAATGGAATTGAGCCCAGTGACGCTTTACATACGCAGGCAACGCTTTCAGTATGCACTTGCTTCATCGTTGTAAAATCACCTCAGTTTGTGCCGTGCAGTCAAGACTGTATGTCTTCTCCTGGAAGTGGTGGGCAACACCGAGAATGTTTCTCAGAAAGTGAGGGCCAGATAAGTTTGTCCAAATCGTGCCATCTGTGGCAGCTGACCATGGTAGCAAAGTTATGTAACTTGGTATTCTTTCATGCATTTACATTTTTTGCTGCTAAATATACTATTTTCAACTTTAAAACAGTGAAAAAGAAATAATGCATTTACAACATATAACATTTGGAAACACTTTCAAAAAGATTATGCCATCTGCAGATGTATTGGAATTTATATTTCCATTGGAATTAAAATTTTCATGCTGTCTTGCACAGTTTCTCGTAGTTCCAAATCCCCTTCAGTGTTCAACATAAACTTGTGGGGCCTCAAGAAGTTTTATCTACATTATATTGCTTCACAAAATACTGTTTTCGTCAGACTTTTACCTTCTCAGGCCTAAAAATCATTCAAATGAAACCATTTGAGAAGACAAATTCGATTTTTTTTTCAGCTTATTGGCATATGCAGCATGTGACAAGTGCTTTATTGAAGGTATCATCTTGTAAAAGCTGTGGGGAAACACTGCTTTATAGAACTGGATATATACAGTAATTAAGACTATTGCAACTCATTGCTCTATGTCCACCTGTTCCTCAGGTACTTATCAAGGCCAGTGGATGGGTGGGATGCGACATGGCTATGGTGTGCGTCAGAGTGTACCCTATGGCATGGCCACCGTCATCCGCTCTCCACTTCGTACATCTCTGGCCTCCCTCCGCTCTGAGCAGAGCAACGGCACCGTGCTCCAGGACCTGTCCTCCCCTGCAGACACGCCTACAGGCAGTCGCGGTGGCTTCGTCCTCAACTTCCACTCAGACAGCGAGGTCGTCACCGGCAAGAAGAAGGGCCTGTTCCGCCGGGGTTCACTCTTTGGCAGCCTCCGACAGTTGCGCAAGTCTGACTCTCGGACCTCAATCTCTAGCAAGCGCAGCTCTGCCAGAAGCGACGCCACCATGAGCCGCATCAGTTCCAGTGATGCCAACTCTACCATATCCATCGGCGATGGCGAGCTGCAAGATGAGGACCTACCTCTGGAGGACCATGTGGATGCCACCACGACCGAGACCTACATGGGCGAGTGGAAGAATGACAAGCGCAATGGATTTGGTGTGTCAGAGAGATCCAACGGGATGAAGTATGAAGGAGAATGGCTTAACAACAAGCGCCATGGTTACGGGTGCACGGTTTTCCCAGATGGCACCAAAGAAGAAGGGAAGTACAAAAATAACGTGCTGGTGCGTGGAATACGAAAGCAGTTGATTCCTCTTAAGAACCCCAAAACCAAAGAGAAGGTGGATCGGGCTGTGGAGGGGGCTCAGAGGGCTGCAGCCATTGCAAGGAGTAAAGTGGAAATAGCAGCTTCCAGGTACCGTGTTCATGTGTGTGTGTGCGTTCATTCATGCTCCTGTACGTGCATATGGGTGTGTACTGTGTCAACATAAAAAAAGACAGGGCGAACATCCTCAGGTGTTTATTTTCACTACTGAAGAGTCACAGCAGCGGCCTGGTTGACAAATATCTCCTGGTCTGATTGAAGGCTCAGCATTGTGTAAGAGGAGTCCCATGACAACGGCTCCGACCTTTATACATCATCAGCAGTCAAGGCTTTTGTGTAGCCGGTGTGATCATTACTGGAAAAGGTTCTGTTTCTATTCTCTGCCCGTGTTTTTCATTCCCAGGGAGAGGGGTCAGGCATCTTATGTGTTTGTGTGTGTGTCGTATGAGATTCGTGTGTCTGTTGAGTTCATGTGCATGAGTTGTATAGCCATAGCCGCACCTATGCCAAGTGCGTCTCGTGTGCCCAATAACGATACCTGCTCCTCCTGCCAAGTAATGCTCTGATGTGGCATCTGCTCTTTAACAGGTGGATGAGACGTGACCTTTTCATTTAAAGCCTCCCCCCTACTGGGACACAGTTCAGGGTGCGCAGCATCGCTTTGACATCCTCTGGTTTCATGGCATCAGGGAATTATTAGACTGGAGACTAAGTGGATGTGTACAAGCTGTGAAAAGGTCTCTATGCAATCGTGCATATTTTGAGTTTTTTTTCCCATCGCTCAAAAGATGCACATGAATTTGCATGTATGAAAACCAATCATCAAGCATTTATAAAACTCAAAAGCACAGACATGTGTGAGACCCTTATACATAATGTGTACTTCTGTGATTATAAGTCTGTCAATCAGATAATTGAGACAAACATATTAAACCATAATTTGACTTTTTATCTTACTGGATAAGCTAATCAGTTCAATTAGTCTTTCATTTATATGAGTGCAGCTCAAAAAAATTCCAGATTTTAGTTTGTCTACATTTTGAACTTGTTTAGCGTGTTCACATGACAACATTCTCTAATTAGTGCTAAACAAAGCATTGCTGAGGCTGATGGGAATGTCATTTTTCAGGAATGAACATGAGTCTGTATCAGATTTCATGGGAATTCATGCAACAGTTGTGAAGACATTTCACTAAAAGCCAAGGATGTCACAGTTATTATGAGTCGTCTGGGACATATGAATGTCTGTGCAAAATTTGGTGCACAACTTGTGAAAATTTCTCAAGTTAAGGAAAAATGTTGACCTCTTTGACCTCTGGACCCCGATAATATTGCTACCAATTTTTACAGCAATCCATCCAATAATTACTGGGACATTTCCCTAAAAAACTAAAATATAATTCTCATGGAGATTCATGGAGAGAAGTTGGGGTGTCACTAAAGCCAGTAGGGTTCTTTGAGAATATCAGCACAAAATGCTATGGGAATTAAAGATGAGGTAAAAATTCCAAATGATCTTTTTAGCATATTGTAATTCAGGCAGTTTAAAAGGAAACTAGACCTCTGTACCACATTTTAGTTCTGCTTTCAGGCTTTAAAATGGTGACTTTGGCTATTCACAGGTCTTTTTCAGAACCGATCAGATGAGAAAATATATATAAAATAAAAATCCACACTCGGTGTAGGAGGTGGTGGCTGAATGGGTTAAACAGAGAACTTTCACGCAGGAGAGTGGGCTTCTAGTCCAGTATGAAAGTGTCAATAAATGTTGATTTTTGGCTTGGCTATTTTGAACACTTTTGAAGCATGTCCATATGCCCATGCTCGTCTGGTGGGAGGGGCTTGGAGCGGAGAGGGGGAGGCCTGCAGGAGGAGGGTTGCATTTTCAAATTCTTCCTTTGTTTTTTCTCTTGGCCTTTTCCATAATTTTGCCTTTAATCTAGTAGTTGTAGAGATATTTCAGTTTGGACCATGGAGGGGGTTATGTATGTTTAGAGCCACAACACTAATGTGGCTATAAAACCACCAAAACTATATTAAATTACCACTTTGTGTCTATAAAGGAGCCAATAGTTCAACATTTCGTGGACTAAATGAGTAATCAACAATGTACTTTAACCAGGGAAATAAAATACTAAATATTAAGACACCAGATACAATGAATCTATTGACTCCAATGTGAACCCAGTCATTTAGAGCAATACAGTCACAGCAGACTATGAATAGCAGGCTTTATTATAATATCCAAACATTCTTTCAAATTATAATATCTCCTCTCCAGTGAGCAGGAAGATGAAATGCTTTATTCTGCAGATTCCGAGGATATAAGATAAAGATTACATAATGTGGATTTAACATGTTTCTATTAAAACTCTGCATACTGCAGATAAGACCCATGATACTATGAGTCTTCATCTGTGCCAGTGAAGGCCACTGAGGTTGAGCTAAATCTACTGGGAAAAGAGGAAAATATGGATAATGTCTAGGCACCTGATCTCCTCTGTGGCTGTGCATTAGAGTAACAATTTACAGGAGGAAACACATGACTCCATGCATAGCGCTAAAGCAACAACAGTAAACGCATTCAGGCTGATGCTAAGTGTTTATGGCAGCAAACAAGGTCCCCTGTACTGAAGGAAGTGATCGAATTACTGGACGGCACATGCCGCTACATCATGTGCAGCTGGAAATCTCAAAACAAGATCTTCTGTCCTCCTGGCTAAAATCAAGATTTGGTTTTCTTTTTAAGGGAAGGGTTTGTGGCACGAACACTCAGAACGGCAGACTGTCGCGGTTGTAAGCAGGTTATGTAAGTCTCATTATACAGTACAGTGCATGGCAAAAGATGCGCTCGTATTGATCCGGTTCTAGTCAAATGACTGTCTGTCTTTGAATGTGGAGCGCACCCAGTGGATCCACAGGGAAGGAGGGGAGGGAGATAGTAGAGGAGACAGAGAGTGGAATGGATTGAAACAAGGAAGCCGTGGTGATTAAATAAGATCGGAGATGCGGCGAATCAGCTGAGCAAGAGGGTTTCTGACGAGTTCGGAGTGGACAGACAGGAAAGAGGAAGCAAAATTTTTAAAAAAGGGCATAGAGAGGACACACCCGCCCCCTCCCCTGTTGGATTACAGTACAGAAGAGCTATCCCATCAGCCTGTGGGGTAGAGCTGATGACCTCATGCTCGTGATCAGCCAATCAATAGAAAGCTAATGTGATGCAGTGGAGTGGAGTTGTGTGGTCCTCATTCACAGTTGCTGTGTCGCCCTTATCTATGTAAAGTAGCCTTCTCCTCACAGCTCTTTCAGTGTGTCCGTGTGGGTGTGTGCGTTTGTGTGGTGTGGCTGTAGAGGTCTGTGAACTGAGATAAGTGACTCTTTGTGCCACTCAAAAGTTTACCGAGTCATGACGCTTCTCCCATAAATCGTTTTTGTTACAGATCAGCACTTTAGGTAACTTGGTAACTCAGCGGTCTGTCACTGTATGCACTGTGTAATCTACTGTTATGGCCTTTGCTACACATCAGCCCCCCCTGTCCAAACTTTCACTCCCTGCGCTATCTCTGAAAAGCAGAAGTATTAAAATGACCTTACAAAAGCTGCAGAAAAACAGTAATGCTTGCATATTAGTTTAATTAGGCCTCTATAGTTCTAAGAATGATTAAAAAAAATGAAAAATGGCCAAACAAACCTATTGTAGGCCAGTCAGTGAATGGGTTCCTACTGTTTGTGTACAGTTTGATAGCACTGTTTCCTTTGCAGGCTCTAGTAAAAGGTTAACCAACACCTAATATGCAAGACTGATATTATATAATGATTTTCTTTTTTTTTTTGTCTTCATGGCAGTCAGCAGAATGTTTAGACTAATATCCATTAACTGTGTCCCATCATCACATTTTAACCTTTGGGCCCACTTTGTTGGATGTTAAGCCACACATACTTTTAGATTTTCTTGAGGTTTGACAGGTATGAGTTAGGACAAACATTTCGATTCCATTTTTTAGTGTTCCAGCTCTGGGGTTTCTAATATTAGATCCTTTATGTATAATTTTGTGCTGGAGTGCAGTGGATCACGACAGACGAACAACCAAAAAATGACTGTTGAATGATGAAAACTGACATATGTTATTGACATGTCACTTCCAAATCTTTAAAAGACGCTTCAGGATCACAAATTATTTTCATGTAAACTGTTTTTGAAGGTGTGTGTGGTTCATTTGACTGTGCGGCTAAGGCTTAAACTACTTTAATCATTTAGAAATTAGGCAGTGAGTATCAGGAAATGTTACATGTTAAGCTTTTTTATGACACTTTTGCTTAAATAGATAGCAGCAACTGTATGTGGCAGTAAAACAGAAGGTGCACGAGTGCAGAGGTATCCATGTCTGTCTCTGACACACACACACACGTGCACACACACTTCTGTCTATATGCATCCATTTAATCACTACCCAACTATCTCTACACAGGGACTCGTCACACTCTCACACTCATACACACGGATTGGTAGACAAACACATACAGTCGAAATACGTACATGCAGTGTGTGCTGCTCTGCTAGTGTGTCAGCAGTGAGTACTGCCTAAATAAGGCAAGGCATCAGTTGGCTTATCAGCACCAGCCAGGAATATATACCCGTCCCAACACTGATATAGCAGCCCGCCATCTCACTCACACTATCATCTCTCCCTCTGTGTGTGTGTGTGTGTGTGTTTATGTGCACGTGTGTGTGCACGTGTGTCCATATGCCAAAACGAGACGAAAAGATTTAAAGAGAATGGGGGAACCTGTCTGTCTGTTTGAGAGATAAGATAAGGTGGCTATCACTTGGCAAGAGAACAGAGAAACTGTGTGCAATGTTTGCGGTGCGTTTGTGTCCAGGGGTGTTTGTTTATCACCTGCTGTGGGATGACCTCAGCCACTCACCACCTGCCCTTTTTGGAGAGAGTTATAGATCAAGCCTGTGTTTCAACATGTGAACAAAATAATCCCCAACCCCTCTGTACATCATGTAAGATTCCGTCTCGGCTCTCCCTTCTTCCGCTTGGAACAGGAGCAGACTCACAGTTGGGCTAATTTTTTTTCCTATT